TTAGTCAAAATATATTATACTTTTGAAGTTAACGAATGATTAACAGAGTCATGATAAATAAAGAATTCATTTTAGTATATTAGAAGCATGGACGAGTTCTTTTGTTGTTTAAAGTTGTTTAAACGAGAAGCATGGAATCGTAAAGAATAGATAATGGTATTCGTAAAATATGCATGCATATAGTCTACAAAGTATATACATTTCTTTGTACAGCGTATCAAAATTTTAGCCTATAAGAATCCATTCAGGACAATTTTTCAACAGAAATCTTATTTTAATTCCGTTTTTTTTCTCAGGAGGCAATTTTCACCTTGTAAAAATGAGGGAATATTAATATTGTCAATGATATAATGGAGATCAAATATTTTATTTTTTTTTAATGAAATTAGATTATCCACTCTTTAAGGGGACCTCCTAATTTTGCATCTATTTTAATCCTATAAAAGGATTTTTTATTCCGTTCAGTCAATTCGAAGATTTTTATACGACTGTAATGTAATAATTTGGTCACTCCAGCATCCCCTTAAATTAGCAAGTTCTTACAACTAATAAAATAGGAAATTAAATAGTAACACAATAATATTAAATGGAAATACATCTTAAATTAAATATTTATGTTATAATATTTTCATTTTATTTGCGGATAAAACTGACACCTAAAAAATACAAATTTTTTGTCGACTTATCTTAACGAATGTAAAAATACTGTGAATTTTTAATTAACAGTTATATTGTCATGTTAAAAAGAAATAAGAATCGATATTCATGATTCATTTATTACTTGTGATATTATTTTCTGTCTCATATCTTGCAGATTTAATTGACTGGTTTGTCAAATTGTCACTTTCTATAAAATTGTCGAGCGACTTAACTACGAAGAGAAAAATAAATTTGAAATAATTTAGAAAAGATCAAACTTCGCCTACAAACAGAAGTAACGTATATTGAAAATGAAGCAAAATGCTGCATAATATTATATTATGATTATATACGGAACGTTTAGAAATAGATAAGTTGATACACAGTAATATTCCACGTGATTTCCAGTGGATAACTCAAATAACATTAATAAAAAAAGAAAGATTTTTTTTAGCATAAAAGAATAATTTCCTATTTTTTTTTATGGCTGAATACAATTCCGTTTATCAAATTGCTGTATCACGTCGAAATTTGTGATAAAAGCGCAAAAAAGGCTATTTTAGCATATTTTGACATAACTACGGTCTGTAAAATGTCGAAGAAGGTTTGTTGCAATCAAAATAAAATATATTATTAGAACTTTCAGTCCTTAAGGAATCCTAAAATGAAATAAATTACCGTCACTTCGTAATTCTAAAATATCTTTGAATTGGCTTTACAGAATTGCAAAATTCTTCACGATTAAAACCACAAAAATAGCTATTGCAAATATGTTTTGCATCAAAAACAAACAAAAATTAAAAACTTATTTTTGCACTTGTTTTTTCACTTATTTTTTGTACATACATCTGTCACCTTGACAGTATTTGCTTCATACAAAAATTTTACTGTTTACATATGTAAAATAAGATGATCTTGTCAGAGACGGAGAATATGCACGGACAATATCGTGAAATAAAAATCAAGATTAAAAGTCTAGAATAAAAAATTATTTAGAATAATCGTGTAAAATAATCAGGGTCAGGTAAGTTAATATATACTTTTTTAAATTAAGTTAAAAGTTAATAATTCATAAAATTGATCAATTGAGTCATTGAGTATTTATCAATCGATTAATGATTGAATATTTAAAAGAAAATAAAAAACAAAATAGAAAACCTTAAAGAACTGTACACTGTCATTACATTAATATATTATAAATGATGGTTCAAGTTTCGGCTGTGGAAACAGAATGACTGGACAACATCGATGAGAATAATTTCATTCCTATTATTTTTTATTACGACGAGGGAATATGCAGATTATGTGGAGTGTTTGATTCTAGCAACATTCCTTAGCATTTGAACAAGTCGTGTTCCAGCAATGTGTACTAAGGAAATACGTTACTACAGTATTTCCCTAGTCTTTTTGTATAAGTTTCTTTTCTCAAGAATAGGGGATTGATTTTCTTATACCAAGATCTTTGCATCAGCCTTAAGTGAATTTTATTCTTATAAAATTTTTGAATCGATATTTGGGTAGAAAAATTTATTATTTTAAACAAGCTACACAAATAATAAAATCTACTTTGGAATAATAACACGAAGTGTTACTTTTGTTAAATATTTATTAACGATTCAGACATACTTCCTATAAGTTTATCGATGTATGTATGCCACTGGATACATACCATAAATAACATCTTAATACATTTAATTTCAGAACTAATTTTTAAGGTGTCCTTACTGATTTGTTTTCCTCATTCAGATGGTTTACCGTACTTCTTGAAATTAGGAACTATGTACATGGGTGTGAACAATAATGATCCACTAATGCAGAACAATGCAAATAACTGTTCCTGTAACATAAACATCTTCATTAACACAAGATAAAATTAATTAGATAAATATTCAGTAATAATATTTATAATGCCTCATCCTCCAATTTTCCTATAATTTTGTAAATTTGTATATTTCCATGGGTAGAATATATTTTGAGAAAAAAAATCGCTCAAAAAATCGCCTGTTTTTTTTCTTTTTGATTTTAATATCTTTTGAAGTCAGTAAGTTAAAAAATGATAATTCAATAAAAATGTATGACTGCACATGCTCATTAATGCTCTTATTTGTGATTAAATGACATATATAATTTGTGTAACTTCATATTTAAACTTAAAAAATAAGTTAACTATATTTAATTCATAAATATGATGACATGAATGAGCAAATTTTGACGCAGTCAAAATTTACTGCTGAATTATTATTGTCTAACTTATCGACATCTTTGAAAATAAAAGGAAAAAATCAGGTATCAAAAACATACTGAAATAAAAAGTTGCCGAATGGAAAATTTCCAAAGTTTTAATAGGAATGTTTCTTGAAATATTGGTACAAAAGATTAATCAGTATGAAAGCAACATTACATATTTATATTCGAGATTCGTTACAAGAAATATTAAATTTTCTATCAATTAAACGTTGCATTAAATAAACATCTTGTTTTTCAATCAAATACTCGTAGGAAAGACATGGAAAAGTTATCCTTCACAATACTACTAAAGGTTTTTTAAACTGCTGTCTTTCCGAGCAATGGATCATTATAAATGTATAAGGGTTATAATACAATGCGACGAAAGAAAATTAATTACGCGTTACATTTTCTTACATAATTTGACAAGGAAAACTTTTACTCACAGCAGTAGACATTTTTACTTCGGGTGGTGCGCTAACGATTGAATTACAGTACGTCCTGGCAATAACGCCTGATAAACGGGACGTATTTCTCAGTCCGTTGTTAATCGCGAACATTTTCGTTTTCGTCGTTCGTAAACTTCCCAAATGAACGAAATCGTGAAAATTAATATTCCAGGCAATTGAAGTCCCCTTGAAAAGAAACCAGGAATATAATTCATTAGATACGCAATCTTATAGTATAAAAATATAAGGAGAAACGTTCTCGCGCATGCGTAATAGAAGAGTGAATTTGGACTCAAATTCGATTGGCTGTTCAAACTCTCATTATCGCGACACGAGCCGATTTGAGTCGACTTTTGTATGCAAGATAGTATTTTGTCTGGCTTTGGAATCGTCGCTCGGATGCCTTATGCGGGGTCTACAATAGAAGTCGTAACAATCGTAGAGTCTTAAGTCGTAGAAAATTGATCAATCACAGTCGAATATGAGAAGAATAATTAACTGTGATTGATCAATTTTCTACGACTTAAGACCCTACGACCGCTACGACTTCTATTGTAGACCCCGCATAACCGTTAACTTATGCGGGGTCTACAATACCGTATGATCTGACCGTATTATTTCCTTTTATCCATGATGTAATAAGACAGGTGAACCAAATAGAAGAATGCGCAATAACCAATTTTGTCAGCCAATCAGAAATCTGTCCAAAGTGCAAAAAGCAATATGGCTGCCTCTATGATACGGGACGTGGGCCTGATTAGCTCTTACGCCGTAGTCGACGTCGTGAATTAGTAAGTGGCTAAGAAATCGGCCAGCCAGAATTATACTCGTTCACAGTGACATTAAAAAGAGTAGGCCAGATGAATATCTGTAAACTGTAAAATATTATATAACAATTCAAATCATGCCAAATATATCAATTTTATATATTAGTAAGATAATGTAAGATAATGTTAGCAAGTTAGCATGTTAGCATGTTAGTAATGTTGTTATGATAATGTTAGCATGTTAGTAATGTTGCATTAGTAAGATAATGTTTAATAATTTCTTATGAATAATGTTTTTCTATTTCTTATTCGTAATCATTTAATCTTCTATATTACTATTTTACTTATTAATTTATTGATCAATGTATCTATTTATAATTATTTTACTTTTATTATGTATTTTTATTATTTTACGAGGCTTTTATAACAGTATTTTCATATTATATATTTACAAACGTTTTTATTTACATTTTTATCATACACATTTATCAATGTTGCCTTTGAAAATCGCGCTGCATTTTGGACAGATTCCTGATTGGCTGGCTTATTGCTTGGCCGCCATGATGCGCGTTGGTTCACCTGTCTTAGGGTGGAGTCCCATGAGGTGTATTTATCGCGTATCGCATAACCGCGTAACCAATCAGAAGCGATCTGCTGTTATAGTTTCGCGTTTTACTGATTATTGATTGGTTATGCGCTTACGCGATACGCGATAAATACACCTCATGGGACTCCACCCTTAGGGTGCGTTCCGAGTTACGCGTGAAGCGCATAATGCATCATTTGTCCTTGTCGTTCACCAAATAATAAAGAAGGATAAAACGATACATCGTGCGCTTTATGCGTAATTTGGAACGCACCCTTATTACATCATGCTTTTATCTACGGAAGCAGGAGCCAAAAAACAAGAAGAGCGACGTTTCCGAACGCAGTCTCTTTGTGACAGATTTTCTAACCTCAATTATTTTGACGGTTCGCGGGATAGAGCAACATTTTTTCTGCTGAATTCTTCCGTTTCGAATTAAAACGTGTCAAATGAGTATTATTTTCATCAAGATTCGCGGAGGGAGAAGCCTGGATTCTAAATAATTATCGATAACAGAGTACATACAATACATATTAATGCATTTCGTGTGAAGCTCATAGATACTTCTTTGAAGAAAAAGATGGATATCGCCAATCCTACTCCTCAAGATTTACAAACAAAATTGTACTTTCTAATGGAACAGTTGCAACATATGGCTGGAGAATTACCGCCAAAATATCAGATGCGATTGCCTTATGAATTATTATCCGGTTTAGCAAACTCATTGTTAAACGATACCATTTTTGAGATAGTGAAAGGTTTGATGGAGATACAGCACGTCACTGAAAAGCATCTCTTCCAACAACGACTCCAGCTTTTGAATCAACAGAAGATTGAGTGTCAAGAAGCATTATCAGCAACAGTAGCAGATGACAAGTTGAACTTAATAAAAGCCACACTGTTTAAGAAACACAAGGAGGAGTTAAAGGAAATGGACATGAAATTGGTATTGCAATTAGATCAAAAAGTAGCTGACCAGCAAAGTATATTGGAGAAGGCTGGAGTACCAGGATTCTATGTGACGAACAATCCAGTGGAAATTCAAGTGCAAATGAGACTGTGCGACTTCATAATTAGACTCACCAAGATGGACATACCAACTTAACATGAATATGAAATTCTATCATATATATATTTCTATTTATATTTAATCATACTTATCACTTATGGATAATAATTATGTCATTTTATTATAATTGCTATTTATTGGTTATTATTCATCATAAAATTCTAAAGGTTAATTTTTGGAGATTGCAAAGATTTTTATATTATTTTCATATTTTATTGTAATCAAGATTTTTATTTGTACAATGCAATTTCACATCAAAAGGTATTATCACAAATTTATAACTATTAATCAAAGCGTAATAGATTAACATATATACATTTTCTCTTCACAAAGTAGAAAAATATTTCATATGTATTATACATGCATCAGAAATGAATTCTCAAAGAAAAATTAAACTTCTAACAAGAAGAGACACCAGTTCCAAGAAAAAATAAGTGTGAGATATTTATACATATATTTGCAATTACATATTGCATAGTAATAATAAATGTTAAAAATATGATTATTCTTACAAAATATAATGTAACAAAATTCTTTTTAACATAACAACAGGGGAACAGTTTTTTTAAGTATAATTTTCTTTCTTTTTCTCTTACATAATTATATGTACACACCGTTCATAAAGTAACTGCTCCGAAATAATAATTTTATCAATCATTCAATTACACTTGTGTTACAAATAAAGTTTCCATAACGTACTAAATATGAATCAAATAATTAAAAATAAAATTGTTTTAGATATTTACGATATTATAAAGATACATAATTAAAAAAATCTTTTGAAAAGGTGAATTATTTTCATTTAGATACCTTTGTTATATAATATATAAATTGTCTTTTCAATTATTATAGATATTATATACAAGAAACAAAATGAGATGTTTTACCAGCAATATATTAATTTAGTATATACGATGTATATATACTAAATAGGATATATATACTAAATTTATATACTATATACTAAATATATATACTAAATACTAAATATACTCAAATTTATGTATTTACTCATATTTATGTATATATACTAAATGTAGTATATATTATTATTAGTATATATTAAATATTTAGTATATACTATTTAGTATACTAGCTATATACAAAATAATTCAGAAGATCAATACTATGAGAAGTGATAGTATTGAACATGGTGAACAAAAAGTTCATACAAACATATCTATGCTGATTCGGAATGATCCGTCCTGTGTACTATTTTATCCAAATGTTGGTTGTGCGGATGAAGCATGATCAGTGACTGGCTTAGCGGATCGAAGGGAATTGGTCTCGTTTGTTTCTGCGAAACATATACGATAAACTTCGTTGAACATCGAGACAAAATGCACTTCCAGGCCATCTGTGATGTATTTAGGTAGATCGTTGAAATCTTTCTTGTTCTCCTCGGGTAAAATTATGCATTTAACATCAACTCGCTTCGCCTAAAAATAATTCATTAATTTTGTACCTTGAAACTATATATAAAACAAAGCAATCATTTCACGAGTACATAATATAAATAATAATTACGTTTCATAAAGCTATGATAAATAAATATTAATGCAAATGCATAATTTGGTGAAAAATAACTTAATAAAACTAGTATATTAAGCTATTTAATAAAAGATATCGAGTTTATTTTGATTTAAATTGGTAATTAGGATTAATAAACAAGATTGTGTTTATACTTACTGCAATAACTTTCTCTTTGATACCACCAACAGGAAGAACTTTGCCCATAAGACTCAATTCGCCTGTCATTGCTAGATCTTGCCTGATAGCTTGATTTTTAGCCAAGGATAATAATGCAGTAGCAATCGTCACACCTGCGCTAGGGCCGTCTTTTGGGGTTGCACCTTCAGGCACATGTATATGCAAGTGAGAATCATACAAAAATGTATTCAAAGAATTCTCCTGTTTCAAGTAGTTCCTTGCTACAGTCATTGCAATATGTATAGACTCCTTCATTACATCACCCAGATGACCAGTGACTTCAAATGTACCCTCAGCCTTTTTACCGCCCGTCGGTTTTCTGATGGTACTTTCGATGAATAACGTGGACCCGCCCATGGCGGTCCAAGCCAATCCCATCACAACTCCGGGAGGCGTTATTTCATACATCCTGTCGTGCGTGAACATAGGCTTACCCACAAAATCTTGCAAGTTGTCCATAGTGATATCGACTTTGTCGGCTTCCTTCTTAACAACTTTAAACGCCACTTTCCTGTGCACCTTCTCTATATGTTTCTGTAGACTTCTCACTCCTGATTCTCGGCAATAAGATTTGATTAACGCTGTGAGTGCATTGTCTTGTATGTTGATTTGTTCTTTGCTCAGACCAGATTCAGTTCTAGCTTGTGGGACTAAATACTCTTTCGCGATAGCGAGCTTTTCTTCGGCAACGTAACCAGACATGTCTATCATCTCCATACGATCTCTTAGGGGTTCCGGAATAGTGTCTATTACATTTGCTGTGCAAATGAATAGTACTTTCGATAAATCTACTGGAACATCTAAATAGTGATCCAGGAAGTTTGCATTCTGTTCTGGATCGAGCATTTCGAGAAGAGCAGATGCCGGATCTCCTTGGTGTCCTCTGCAATATAATGTTATAAATGATGTAGAATTCATTTACCAAAAAATATTATAAAAATGCTAAAAAAATTTAAATGGTTTAAATTAAATTCTCTAAATATATTTAAATATTTTGTGGAGATATTTTCTATCTTAAGAAAATATTTATCTATTTTTTTAAATGTTTACACAAATTACATACTTGCCAATCTTATCGACTTCATCTATTAAAATCAACGGATTCTCAGTTTTGGTCTTTTTCAAGCATTGAATGACCTTGCCTGGCATGGCTCCCACATATGTTCTCCTGTGTCCTTTGATCTCTGCCACGTCCGTCATTCCACCGACACTAAACCTAAAATATTCTCTATTCAAAGCACGAGCAATTGATTTAGCTATTGAGGTCTTGCCAACCCCGGGAGGCCCATAGAAACATAATATTTTTCCTTGAGTACTACCCTTTAGTTGACTAACAGCAATAAATTCTGTAATAATTAAAAGCACACATAATGCTCAATAAAAAAACATTGTACTTAAATAATACATAAATAGGTATGTATGTGTATGTATATATATATATATATATAAAGTGCATTTATGTACCAAGTATTCTTTTCTTTATATCCTCCATTCCATAGTGATCCTCATCCAAAATTTTGACGGCATCTTGAAGATTCAAGTTCTCTGTACTTGTCACACCCCATGGCATAGACGTAAGCCAATCAAGATAATTTCTTGTAACACTAAAAATACAAAATTCATATAAAATTTATATAAATCATCAACATATATAATACACATACTTATTATATTTAATACACACTTGAATTCGCTACTATGACTTTCTAAAAAGGAAAGTTTATTCAATTCCTCTTCCAACACGTCCATAACAGGTTTAGGAACTGTCTTTTGTCTTATTTTTTCTCTGTATTTCTCTTCTATCGCATCTTTATCATCCTTTTCCAACCCTAATTCTTTCTTAATCACTTTTAATTGTTCATGAAGAATGTATTTTCTATGTTGTTGTTTTACTTTCTCCTCAACCTCTTTACCAATTTTCTGTTGCAACTTGCTTAATTCATATTCCTTTTTCAAAAGTGCAAGTGACAATCTCAGTCGTTTTAGAATCTACACGAATAAAATATTACTTTAATATTTTCTATAAACATATATGGAAATTCTATATGCATGCTATGATATCAACAATGTGCTCACATCCATTTCTTCTAAAACTTGTTGTAATTCCTGTGCACTTGCTCCAGTTAAGGCAGCACCTAAATCACTCAGATAAACAGGATTATCCACAACTCTTTGTCCTTGATGCAGCATTTGTTGTAAAGATTCGCGATACAAAGGATTCATGCTAATTATGTCTCGGATTGTTTTAATGAGTTCTTGCGTCAATGCCTGTTTAGAAAATATTTCTGATAACACAGTTTCTGATATTGTAATAACACTATAACAAGATCCATTCAAAGTTAACTGTTTTCAAAATAATGTAACCAATTTTTTCCCAAAACAAAAATCTTTTTTTGTCAAAATAAAAAGGAAATATAGAAAAAATAAGAAAGAAACAAGATAAACTTTAGTAAACATTCTTTCCAGTTATTAATTTTTAATTGTTCCATTGTTTTGTTTAGCATTTAAATATACAGGGTGGAGAATAGGGGTTTGCTCATTAATTAACTTAAATAAAATATAAAAATACTATTTTTAAAATATTACGAAAATTTTTAATATCATTTTATATATTACCTTAATCTCCTCAGTTTGTTTAAACTTTTCATGTGTGACATTTATAACTTCCACCATTAATATAGGTTGATTACTAGATTGAGGAATTGATGAAACTAATGGTTTTTCTGTATTCTTCTTAGGCGCATCTGTTAGCGGTTTTACTTCCGTAGGATTTGTTTCATTGACCTTTTCTATTTTCTCAGTTCGTTCTGTAACTCTATTTTCTGCTTTTTTACGCAATGATCTCCGGTTAACTTTGTTACTGGTTATTGTGTCGTCTACAGGAACGGTAATTGTGGTATTTAATAATGGAAATGTCAGTTTCATCTCTGTATAAAGTAGGTAGGACAATATTTAAACAGAATAATCAAAGAATAGTGCCACGCCAAGTTAAAAACAACAAAATTTTTATCAATTAACAGAACATTAAATTTCTATAAAACGTGACTTTGCAATATGAAAATGCAATAATTAAATATATTTCGTACCATGTTCCACTTTTGAATTGGCATCCTCAAAAATTTGATTAACAATCTTGATTCTTCTGTGTGCCATAACCACCAATCTTAATCGATTTCCTAAGTCTTGTACCTCATGAACTTGAGCAAAAATTCCAATCGAATAAATATCATTTAAACTTTGAACGACAGCAGCTTCATTTCTGTATGAATAAATGACATATTAGAACTGAAATGATAATTATTAATTTTGACAGTATTTATGTCGGT